AACTCATGCAACGAGCCCAGGACCTGGTACCACTGCCTAGATGCCTCCCAAACAGATCAAGCCAATCGACTATCTCACCTATTCAGAGGGCCTGATCAAGTAACAGCTTGGTATTGGCATAAAAACCAACATGTGGACCAATGGAATCGAATTGAAGACCCTGACATTAACCCACACACCTATGAACATATAATTTTTGACAAAGAAGCCAAAAGTGTAAAATGGAAAAAAGAAAGCATCTTCAACAAATGGTGCTGGCATAACTGGATATCAATGTGTAGAAGGCTGCAAATAGATCCATATCTGTCACCGTGCACAAAACTTAAGTCCAAGTGGATCAAGGACCTCAACATAAGTCCAGCTACTCTGAACCTGCTAGAAGAGAAAGTAGGAAGTAGACTTGAATGCGTTGGCATAGGAGATCACTTCCTAAATATAACACCAGTAGCACAGACACTGAGAGAAACAATCAATGGGACCTCTTGAAACTGAGAAGCTTTTGTAGAGCAAAGGATATGGTCAAGAAGGCAAAGTGATAGCCTACAGAATGGGAAAAGATCTTCACCAACCCCACATCTGACAGAGGACTGATATCCAGAATATATAAGGAACTCCAAGAAATTAGACATCAAAACGACCAACAGTCCAATTAAGAAATGGGCTTTAGAACTAAACAGAGAATTCTCAACAGAGGAAACTCAAATGGCTGAAAGACATTTAAGGACTTGCTCAACATCCCTAATCATCAGAGAAATGCAAATCAAAACAACTCTGAGATACCACCTTACGCCTGTCAGAATGGCTAATATCCACCACTTTCTATAAAAGCTTCTCTGGACCTCCATAGTAGTGAAATCTTGGGAATTCTCTTTGTCTAGAACTTTCCTGAGAGCTGTCTGGTAAGCATATGGAACCAGGAGGATTTATTCTCTCCTCTTGTTACCTCTACTCACATGATGCTCACTGCCATCATAGCTGCCTCCTTTGGAAATACTACAGCACACAAAAGTTCTTTAATTTTTCTGAACAAACTGAATTGGCCAAACCTTGTTTACAGAACATTTCAAAAGTATGTACTACTTTCCATAATATACAACATCTCACATTACTGAGAACTATCTGTTTATTTCTCATGAACAGAGAAATTCTGGTGTATCCAATAAATTCTTCCACTGGGATAGATTTTTGCTTATGGTAAAGGAATAATATCATCCTCTGATATGCTGTTATGTCAGTCTTAAAATACAATCCACCCATAAACAAATGAAGTCTGGATTTTCTAAAGGGATTTCTAATCAATCTATTTAAGGCATAGACTATGAACAGAGGTAGGACAGTTGTGAATTTCTAGTAATGAAAGGGAAACATCAGGACTTAATGTTATAATGATGAGTGGGACATGTAAAGGAGATGGTAAGATCTCACACGAGGTGTGACGTCTTCCTGGGAAGTAGGAAGCCTTGGCAGGGGACTGAAGTATGAGGAGTCCTCACTCTTATAGGAGATTCTGAACCCGAATTGGTAAGTGTTCCCACCACTCTAGCTGCTTTGTCAAGATGTGTGACTGTCGTCATCATCGGAACACTAAGGACTTGTTTTTACCTCTCAGCTGTAAATACAGAGGAGTCAAAGTTGTTAGAGAGCTAACGATTCACAGACGACCTGTTCACATTTGGTTTTCCAGGGAAGAGACTGTTTACTGAGAACCCTGTTAAACTGTACGGTGGGCTGGTAATTGGGCAAGTTGAGAGGATTCATTGCCCACAGGGTACTGGGTTTAAAAACCTTACCGATTGCCTCTGGCATGATACAGCTGATTAGATATAGGGAGTTTACTTATATCCTAGATCAAGGTGTAACTTTTTCTTTCTCTGCAAAGGACCTGCCAATAGATATCTTGGAATGTGTGGAACATAAGCTTTCTGTCAACTATTCAACCCAGTTACTGTGTTAAGACAGCCACAGGAAACATGTAAGTTAACAGATATGGAAATGAACGCTCTGGTGGAATTACATCACAAAGTAGACAGCAGATTAATGGTTGGAGTTTGGAAACACACAGTTGTTCCAGGTACTGTCACTTACCTTGACCTTTTGTCTGAGTTTTGGGAACTGTATGCCTTTACTGAGCTAAAACAGTAGTTCTGTCTTTGAGTTTGCCCCACTCTGGAACACAAGCAAAGGCCATCCACACTCTAGAACACAAGCAAAGGCCATCCACACTCTGGAACACAAGCAAAGGCCATCCACACTCTGGAACACAAGCAAAGGCCATCCACACTCTGGAACACAA